CAAGAGTGCTCTAGACTACACGACGTTTTTGGCAGGTCACGCTTTTGCTTCTCCATCCCAACCCTAACCCTAAAAGCTAAACCCTGAATTCCAATTTCCTGGTAGATGTGCATCGTCTCGTAATCCCCAGTGCCGATCCACCGAAACAGCAGGCGAACTCGTGGCTTGGGGCCTGTGGCTTGGGCCTGATATAGCGGCCTCAATGACTAGACTACGGTTTTGGGGTAGGCCATTATACGACAACTAGATGGGGATTACAAGTGGACGCTCTTATTAATTCTTCCGACCCATATGTTGTGGCCGACCACGGATAACAACTAGGGATGGCTTTCAATGGGGGGGATCGTTTTCGGCTACCTCTGGAAATGCAGTCAATTATACTAGTATCCAAGGGTAAAAGGAGGGACCCTTAATAAGGACCCCTATATATGCCTTTAATATAGATATTATATACCCATTATATAGCGCATTATAGGGTAGGGCTCCCCATTAAGGGTCCCTCCTTTTCCCCTTTGAGAGTTGCTCTAAAACATCGAGACGGAATCAAACCTTCGAGCACCAGCATGAAGCACAAAAGAACCGGTTGGAGCATGTGGGAGTTTCCGAAAATAGTTTGTAGTCTTTATAGTAAGGATCCTACTATTTAGGGGACCATATTGGGGTCCCCTATTTTCGGAAACTCCCATGTGTAGAACTGCTATAACCCAACTGTGTTCTTATAGCAAGCCCTGTAGTAGCCTGCCAACTTAACCCGAAACCCTAACCCTTTTAGTAGCCCTGCTGCCGCGCTAACATTATCCCACCTTGGTGTCGAAGAGGTCGTCGCACTCCGCCTCCGCGCACTGCTGCAGCACCTTGATAGCCGAGAACAGGCTTAGGGTTAGGGCTAGGGTTCAGGGTTCCGTTCCGAGCATACTAGGTGGCTTCCGTGAAGGACCTAAGGCTTCTATAATGGGCTCATAGGGCTTCTGGCCTTTAAGGCTGCTCCTTCATGTGCTCCCTTTTTAAAATTGCAGAAGATCACCCAGAACTTCTAGACCTAAGAGTAACCTAGGAATAAGAAGGGTGCCCTTTCTGGGGAACCTGAACCCCTAAAAAAGGGAATAAGGGCCTACTCTGGGTCCTGGGTTAGGCTTAGGTCCTTGGCCTCAAGGCCTTTAAGGCTTGGTGCTTGGGGCCTGTAGGGTTTTGGGGCTTTTAGGGCCTTTAGGACCTTTAGGGCTTTTACGGCGTTTAGGGGTTTTACGCTTCAAGGCTTTCAGGGCTTATGGGTCAAGGGGGGCCCCACTTGGATTGGGGTGCAGGGCTGTAGTAGCAGGGTCGCGTCGGGGTTTGAGGTGCCGCAAAACCTGGTGTAGAGAAGCCTTCATGATTTGAGAAGGCAGTTTCCCATGATTCATGGATAACCAGTGCCTGGGTCCCATCGGGTCCAGCCAGATCTTTCTTCATGCAATGTCAAAAAATCAGCAGAGAACTATCCTGAAACCCTTTACCTTACCTTTGGTTAGTGGGGAATGGAGGAATGGGATACAATTATAACTACTATTACTTCCATTCCTCGATTCCCTACTAACCAATGGGGTACAATTACAACTACTATTACTACCATTCTTCCATTTCCTACTAACCAAAGGAAAGTAACTAACCAAAGGTAAGTAACTCCGACACCCGAGAGCACAGATGCTTCCCTACCACGCTCCCAGAGAAGACCGGAGCATCCAGCTAGTGCAGGACCACTGACAAAGGGTGCAATTTTAGGCTTTGTTGATAAGGCGGAGTTTAGGGTTTAGGGTTTAGGGTAATGCATTCAGGGACTACAAGGGGTTTGATTGGAAGGGCGAAGACCAAGAGAAAAAGCAGTGTCGGGTTGTTCAATCAGGCTGCAGACAGGTTTCCTCTGAAGGTTCTTGCCCAACTGAGTGCGGAGCCACATACTGCATTCCGAGGATAATACTCCTGCAGGGGACTCGCGACAACTATGCCACCACGCGAGATGTCAACACAACGGGTTAAAGAACGAGAAAAACTAAGCGTTGCAGATCCTATGCTACAAGACTAACCATTAATCGGGTTTCATGGCATGTATGCTGTGCCGTGGTTCTTGAAAGGATTGCTGAGTTGCTGACACTGCGGAAAATCCAAACTCTGACATGTCTGCTATCCGGTGATCCATTCTTTGCACGTCCCGAAACTCCCAAAGGACAACGAGTCTGCCAATGCCACAAGACCATCTCATCCCCAAAAAAACGAATTCGGTGTGTCCGCGAGTGGGTAGGTGTGCCTACGCCCCGAAGTCTTCAAGCAGACCACGTGTTGTGGCAAGGAAGCAAAATCTGACGTTTCGCTTTAGGGTTTGGGGTTTAGGGCTCATGATTTGCTTATAGCTTCCAGTGGGCAGACTTCGGTCTTTGCATTCACGAAGTCTGAATTGAAACGCAAAAAAAAACAGAACAAGCTTGCAAACCGCATCAAAACATCTTGATTTCTAATCCCTCTGCAGTAAAACGGTCAATGCTTGATCTTAATTGAAGCCCCCGCACTCCCCCAACGTCCTAGCCTTCAACTACTGACGAAATGCAACAAAGCCACCCCCAAATCCGAACCCCGAGCCGCCAAACCGTAAATCCGGGTCAGGGTTCAGGGTTTAGGGTTTAGGGAGCTCTTGTTACGAAAGTTTGCTTAAGATATTTGAAGAGGGACAGCATACCATTTACCATGTCTCCCTGCTATGGTAACTCAAATCGAGCTCCTTGCCGAGAACTCCTGAAACCATTAAATCTTAGTAAGACCCTATAAATGTCCTGGATAACCATATAAGCCCTAAATTAGGGTGTACATGGGATTTGTATGAACCCTCATCAAGGTTCATATAAACCCGAAAAAGCCTGTTTTGAAAACAGCCTTGTGGCCAGCACACTAGACCTAGACACTTGCCAGCATCCGGCTCCTGAGCGAGCACATCTTGTAGTCCAGCTCGCAGCAGGCAGAATGTAATCCTCAATTTGTGCTTGTGGTGCGGCTTCTACGTCTAGGAGTTTGGGATTTGGGCTTGGAGTTGCAGTTTGCAGCGGTGTTTGGGTGGTTATGATTCGCAGGGTTGAACGTTGAAGTTATGTATGTCTTGCTACGGAAGTCGGTGTCGGAGGCGTGCACGTCCTTACGCCCTTCTCGGCTCCAGCCATGCCTAGTCAACACTACACAAATAACAATTAACAAAGCCTGATAGAAACATGTGCATCGCTGTATTTAAGCTCCCTAACCTTACCCGCACATTCACGCACACACACACACACACACACACACACGCGCACGTGTATGTATATATATATATATGTATATGTACACATATACATCTACACACACCGTGTGTGTAGTGTATCTGTATACATCTACCTCCATCTTTATCGCTACATCTATACCTATATCTATATCTAATATATACATATACACAAAACATGTACTATGTATACTACTATATGACGTATATGACGTGCACTGTAACGCGGTGGTCCTTTTCTATGGCCGTGCAAAAACCCAACCTCCGAGAGAACGCTGGCAGGTCTGCCCTTGGGAGTTAGCTTTAGTTTGTCTGTGAAGGGGTTCAGGGTTTAGGATTTCGGGCTTTAGGAGTGCTTGGGTCTAGGGTAGGTTGCTAAGGTGCACTTAAAGGCTCATGGTAGTTATAAGTGGGGGTATAAGTAGGGTAACCATAATTATAACCCATAATAGGGGACTTATGAGTCCACTTATACCTACCCATGAACCTCCAATTAGGCCCTCAACCCCATGCCCTTGTAGAATCCCTATAGATCCCTTTAAAAGGACCCTTAAAGGAACCCTAGATTTACGATTCATTCATAGGAGGAGATAGACTGCATGCCTGCACTGAGGCTGCAGCTCAACAGCCACCGCATCTTCAGCAGAATCCTAATCTGCGGAAAGCACCTCGGCACCACCCCCGGGGGGTTGAGAGGTAGAGAACTTCTGACGAGATTTTGGATGCCGCTCACGCTGAGTTCATGCTGACCTTGGGGTGGTCGCTTTCGGATTAAGTAGGCGCTATACTGAACTTAGAACCCTAGCAAAAATTATAATTTTAGCTGTTTCTAACAACCAAAAATTAAAAATCATTTCTAAGTACCCCTAAGGGCTATGTACTATGGACTGAGGCCCTTCAAGAAACACAGGTGCCCCGGAAACCGATGGTGATGGAGGCCTCCGGGATCCGAAAATATAAACCTGAAATCCATAAACCCTAATGTATACAGAGAGTTAGGGTTTAGGGTAACAGTCAGAAGGTAGAGTTGTGGGAGATACTTTGCTATAACTGTTGCAGGAACGTTAAGGAGTTCTGTTCAACGATGCTCGGCCCCTCTGCTGACCCCTTGGGTTCATATAGTAAACCCCAGAAAGTTGGAACATGGAACTGGGATGATTTGTGCTGGGATTCCCTATACTTTGCTTTTAGGGCATGAGGATAATGATGTTCCAACTTTCTGGCTTCTACTATATGGCTTTTAGGTTAGGGTTTAGGATTTAGGGGTTTAGGGGTTTAGGGGTTTAGGGGTTTAGTGTAAAGCTTGAAGGTTCTTAAAGGCCCTCCTTCCGATCGACCTGCACCGCAGGCACAAGAGTTGCTCGAAGCGACAAAAAGCGTCGCACTGCCGGCCGAGGCCCTGGGGTAGGGTCTTCTGCCCTTCTTAGTTCTAAATTGGTAGCGGAGCGCTGCGGCGCTCCAGGAGCTAGTTTTTTGTACGTAGTTTTGTCCTTCGGGCTATGGCGACTCCCGGCCCGACGAGTTTCTATGCGCACTCCTGTCCTTCTACTACTAATGTTCCTGATGACGATTCGCCGCAGCGTGATGGTGATGCTGCGCGTGATGGTGTTCAACCCGTCGGACGTCCGACTCCTCCATGTAACGATCATGCGGAACAGAATGTGCAGTGGGGTCCCAACCACAAGTGGGACGCTTGGAGTGGAAATGATTGGCAGGATCGCCAATGGGATCACTCCTGGGGACAAGCCGGGCATGGATGGTACGGTTCCAGGTGGGCCTGGGACCACCGCTATGGCCACGGCGACCACACTGGCTGGGACGATACGAGAGGCTGGGCCAGTTCATCTACGGGACCGGCTCATCAGATGGAAGTGGCCCTGACCGAGACTCCAAAGAGTCATCTTCGGATCCTTGGGGTCGCCGTGATTCCACTGGGGACTCGAGGGGCACGGGCTTCCACGATGGCCACCGGCAGCCCGACGGCTGGAGGCCCTCTACGGACGGCCAAGGTGGGGCCGACTACAAGGGCCCTCGGTTCGGCGATGGCCCCAGGGGGCCTTCTGAGAAGATGATCGTGCCGAGTTTCTCTGGCAATGTGAACGACGAGGGCGACGACCTGGGATCCTCCGCGAGGTCGTACCTTCGTCAGGTGTCAGCATGGCGCCGTATGACGCGGATGAGTAAGGATCAGCAAGGCCTCACGCTTTACCAGCACCTTACTGACAGAGCTTGGATCGATGCGGAAAGATTGGATATGGACAAGTTGGGAAGCATCGACGGCGTGGACTACCTGCTCTCTTGGATCAAGGATCGCTACCTGGACGTGCAGGTGACCCAGGTGGGAAGAAGTCTATCTGACTTCTTCCGCAGGCTGCGGAAGAAACCGTCTCAGCCTATGCGAGAGTACATGGCAGACTTCGACAGGGCCTACGCGAGGCTATCGGAAGTTGGATGCCAACTTCCGGACGTGGCTGCAGCCTGGGTGTTCGTGGACCGAATGGGGCTAGAAGAGCATGCTGAACTCAATTTGCTGGCTTCGGTTGGGAATCAGTATTCTTTGAAATCCCTTCAGCAGGCTGCCATCGTCCACGACCGGGGGTTACGCAAACCTTGGGAGGCTTCGAATGGGAACCCCAAGCGACCCTGGGGACCGAGGAAGCCTCACTCGGCGAACATGGCGGACCCCGACGACTTCTTCGGGGACAACGGCACCGAGGACCAGGCCGACGAGGATGAGGGCGTCCCGGAGGAGGTCGCCCACGACTTGTACGAGGCTTTCATGACTCACGAGACGGCCAAGCAGCGCTACCGCGAGAACTCGAAGTTGAGGGGAAGCGATCCTGATGCTCTTCGGCAACTGGCGGCCGAAAAACTGAGGATGGCAAAGGCGAAATCATTCTGCTCGGGCTGCCGCAGGCGCGGCCACTGGCACAAGGACGCAGTTTGCCCCTTGAACAAAGGGGCGGCTACAGGTGCTTCGTCGGCTACTACGACGGCGGCCACACAGGGCAGCCACCCCGGCGGAGGAGCTCGCGATGCTACTAAGACGAATTTTCCCTGCCATGTGGTCCACGTGACGTGGGATCTGGGAGAACAGGATGTCCCACGGCTCCTTGCCATCACGGATACCGCCTGTTCGAAATCCGTGGCAGGCACCGGATGGGTGGATGGATACGTCGAAGAAGCCCGTCGTCGGGGCTGCGAGCCAAAATTTGTGTCCTGCAAAGAAGCGTTTCGCTTCGGTGCATCGAGGGTGTTCATGGCGAGCTATGCGGTGATCCTCTGTTTCACTCTGGGTGACTCCACTGTCACTCTGGCGGTGGTGAACGGGGAAGTCCCGCTCCTTGTCTCGCGCCCGGCACTAGGCGCCCTCGGGATGATTATGGACGTGGCAGCCAACACAGCCTCCTTCCGGAATGTCAAGGCGAAGGACATGGGCTTGACCGTGACAGAGACCGGGCACCCAGCAGTGCCTATTGTTCCGGCCCCATTGCCTGCGTCTTACCGCCCATCTCCGAACGAAGGAGTGTGTGAAGTGTGCATCTTCTCGAAGAGTGGCCAATACACGGACTTCGCTCAGGGTTGTTTTCAGGAAAGCTTTGCTTCGGGACATGATGGATGTCGGGTTGCTTCGATTTCGGAAGGTTGCGCTGTCAGTTGGATGACTACATGCGGTGATGAGCTTGGTGGATGTGGTGAATTTCCTACTACATCTTCCCCTACTGCTACTACTACCTCAACCTCCGACGGCATCCCTTACCAGCGTACTACAGCCCCGAACTCTACGGCTACCTCCCTATCTCAACCAGAAGACCCTCCTACAGCTACGTCAACTCACCTCAAGCCCAACTCAAACGTGTTCTACCCAAAAAGATTGCGGCTGTGACAAAGAACCTCCTCCTCGATGAGAACTTTAATGCAGAGACCTTCACCAACTGGTGGCAGCGTACCAATGTTACAAACGACTTTTGGGTAGAAGGAGATCATGTCCTCGTACGCGTTCACGTAATCCCTAGGAGGACCTTTTTCAATCCTGGAAAGTGGAGCACTCAACATTATCATCGAAAAGATCTACTCTTGCAAACTCTTGGAGAAGTTAGGACTGTACAAGCCATCGCCTGCAAGTCTTTTAGACAGTATCCTGATGTACATGGGACATGGCGCGATGATCAAGAACAATCCGTGTTTCCGATGTTGTGGATCGGAAGAACTGTCTTTCATAGACGACAATCGATGCCAGTGCTCCCTCACTCCACGCCTCTCGGTGATCATGGCCTTCAGCTCCCCTCTCCTGACAGCACCCATGGTGACGAGGCCGAAAACCTTGTGGGAGTTCACCAAGGGCGAGTTGGTCGCCGAGGCGAGGGCACGGAACCTTTGGTTCCACGAATCCTGGACCGTGCAAGAGATCAGATCGGCCATCCAGGACGACCGCAAGGCGAGCTCCAGCCAGACTCCCACGATCTCGGGCATGAGTCACCTGTCTGCGGACGACCTCAAGGAGAAGGCGAAGACCCTCGGCTATGCCCTGCCCCCGCATGCCACCAAGGGAACGATCATGCGCATCTTGAGGGACCAGAATAGCATGGGGCCGGAGTCGCTGCTCACCTTGGGACGGTTCAAAGGGAAGAAGTTTGCCGAGACCCCCGTGGGATACCGCGGGTGGGCCATCAAGGAGGTGGGGTCCAACGACAACCCGTCGGAGGAGCTAGTGATGTTTGCGAATTGGTGGCAAGGAGAGCTACACCGGCAGAACGAGATGGCGAACCGCGCGAGCACCTCGACAAGGGACCCGACCTACCTGGACCCCGAGGCGAATGCTACGATTCCCTACGTCGAGGAGGCTCCATCGGCGACGTCCTGGGACGAAGTGTAGCTCCCCCGCGACGAGGTATGGAACCCGGCCAAAGGCGAAGGCGGCTACTCCCGGAAGGTCCCCGGCGACGAGAAGGACGGCGGCAATGGCGATGGGACCCGGGCGTGCGAACATGGAGCAGGACGTGCCCGAGGAGGTGATCGACGAGGTTCTGGGTTTGGAGGCCCGTCTGGCCGCCATTCGGGACCAACATGGGATTGCCCCACGCGAGTGGAACTAGTTGGCGAGAGCGGACACGACGAGGAGGTCGAAGAGGACCGCGACGAGGAGGTCTTCCACGAGTGCGAGGAGGGAGACGGTGTCGAGCCTACCGAGCAGAAGAACAAAGAGGTGATGATCGACGACCAGGACATCGACGAGTTCTTCTGCATTGGCGACTACGACGAGGTGGGTTCGGTGCACGGAGCGGCACCGGATGATATAAACTCTGCGGGCAGTGGGGATGTAATCCAACGTGAGCCCCACGGAGTCAATGCTACCTCTATCGCTCAGCAAAGCTCCCAATGCGAAGACCTTGCCAGAAGGAAGCTCGGCCTCAAGCTCTTCTCCTACGAGGACCTTCTGGAAGTTGTGAAGCTTATCCCGTTGAAGACCGTCAAGGGGAGAAGAGGTTCGAATCGTGGCGGGGGAGAATGCACTCAGTACTTCCTGGGGGGCATGTTCACCTACGGGAAGTTCTATGGCTTGGCACGGGGCAACAAGTTGTTGCCTTGGACAGTGAAGTATGTGAACTCTTTTGCCCGGGACAAATTCCAAGGTGCATGGACTTCTTTCGTGATCTTCCACAACACTGCGACGCAGGTCCATGCCGATGTTCACAACCTCCCTGGCACGAAGGTCACGACCGTAACCTTCGGCGACTTCGAGGGCGGTGATCTATGGCTTCAAGATGATGATGGAGATGTACCCAGGAGGGCTCCGGATGGAACCGTCCTCCATGGAAAGACCCACCGCACGAAGGAATGCCCCATCAGCTTCGACGGGAAGATCAAGCACGCCACTCAGGTATGGAAAGGGGACCGATGGACTCTGTCATGTTTTTCGACAAGGAACTTCCGGGAAGCCGGCGCGCAGCTCCGAGATGAACTTCGAGATCTGCGGTTTCCTTTGCGAGGCCTCCCAACGCGATCTACCACTACCGGAGACGAGGACCTCGGGACCACACAAGCACCTAGGCCCCGGAAAAGTACGCGAAAGTCTTTGTGGAAGTCGGCTACGAGACTTGCCTCTTTGACGACGTGGTGCACTACGGCGGCCTCTATGTGCCTCACCGAGAGTTTTCCGTTATCTCGAGGACCGGATGCGGTGACCCTCTTTGAGATTGGCGGCATCTCCAAAACTGTTGAGCATGGGGACCTCCCTTTCGCGATGCTCGAGCCGTATGAGTATGACCCGCAGGCCACTCTCGAGGAGAACGTCACTAGCGTTAACAAGATGATGACCGACTTCGTCCCGGAGGTGATCTGGTTTCATGGGAAACAGCCCGATGGCTTCTTCGATTCGAGGGATTGCTTCCCTTGTTCCACAACCAGGTCTCGGCTGGAAAACAGCTCGCCATCGAAGCGGGTGACGGCGATCCTCTTTGGAACTCAGACGCTCTACAAGACTTGATGAAGAGGCACGAGGAGAAGTATCATCGCCGCGACGGAGAGTTCGATGTCCTACGCTTCAATGATGGGAATGGAAAGAAAAGCGACTTTCACTACGACAACGACATCCCCGAGTTCGTCGACTACGTGTGTCACCCAGACAAGAAAAGGGGAACAGGATCAGGAGGACCTTCTCTTGAAGAACCCTGTGGTGCCGAGGCCTATGTGACGAGCACTTTGGATCATGGAGGGGGGACAGGATCAGAAGGACCTTCTCGTGAAGAACCCCGTGGTGCCGAGGCCATTTCGTTTGAGAAAGGAAAGACACTGGCTCCTGAGGTGACGTCGTCCCTGAAGCATTTACACCAGAACTTGGGTCATCCTACGAACCTTGACCTTGCACGACATCTACGCCTGGCTGGGGCAGACTAGTCAGTGGTGGAAGCATGCAAACGTTTGCGGTGCCAGGTCTGTCACAGGAACCAAAGAGGGTCCAGCGCCAAGCCGGCGACCTTACCTAACCTCCTGGAGTTCAACCAGATGGTGGCGGTGGACGCGTTCTATGTGTACGACTGCGACGGCGAGAAGGTCGAGCTCATGATGGTGATCGACATCGGGACGGGTTTTATATCTGCGGGAGAACTCCAAGGGCACTCCGGAGCGGCCATGGAAGCATCGTTTTGTTCAATCTGGAGCAACACTTTCGGAGCGCCGGGGACGATGATATTGGATCTGGAAAGCGGTCTGCAAGCTGGCCTAGGAAGGTTCAGCGAGTGGCATGGCACGAAAATTCGTGCCGTCGCGGGACAAGCTCATTGGCAAAATGGAGCTGTCGAGAGGGCCATCAGAACCTGGAAGGAGATCTGGGGAAGACTGGTGGACGAATGGTCAGCGTCTATTGAAGAGGCGGGCATGATCATCACCGCGGCCAACACCGCCATGAACACCCTTCGTCGGGACTCCGGATTCAGTCCCTCGCAAGCCGTTTGGGGACGCGATCCGCGTCTTCCGGAGGAACTCCGAGGAACTCCTCAGGATGAGCAGGTCGAGCACATCGTGAGCCATGACCGACTCCGCGCCCGAGAGCATTCCCTCCGAATTTCGGCCAAAGAAGCTTGTTTCAAGTGCCAGAATGATTCTAGGCTCCGTCGCTCCCTTCTTCAAGGTTCCAGAGTGGCCGGCCCTGAACTTCAGCAGGGCGCCCGAGTCTTCTTTTACAGGAAGCCCAAGAACAACAAGAATTGGCAATGGCATGGTCCTGGGGTTGTGATTGGAAAAGAAGGCCCTAACATCTGGGTCTCCTTCGCCGGACGATGTCATCTCGTTGCCCCGGAACACATCCGGACGGCGAGTGCCGAAGAGTTGGGTGCCGCCTTCAGCATGAGAGCAACTCAGGACGATTTGCAACGTCTTTTGGAACAAGATTTCGGTGACGAGGACATGTATGAAGGGGAGGACATGGAACTCGACGATGACCACGGCCTTCAACCGGAAGACCCGGGAGACCTAGATGAACACCAACAAGGCGGAGTTCGCCGTGGAGCGGACAAGACGCCCGCTCAACCTGTGACGAAGCGTCATCGGACGAAGGGGCCACAGACCCAGGACCCAGCCGCGGCGGCCCACGACACCTACATGATGAAGCTCCCCAAGACACCGAGAGGCCGAGAAAAGGCACTGGAGAAAGAGTTGCCGTGGTCGATGATTCCGCCAGAACAACACCAAGGATTCAAAGATGCCGAACTTCGTCAATGGGAGGAACACGTCGAGCACAACGCGCTCGACCCCCTCACGGTCGAGGACAGCCGCGATATCCTGAAGAACAAGTCCGATCGCGTGCTCAACAGCAGGTTTGCTTACCGAGATAAGCTATGGAGTCGACGACGAGAGCAACCTGATGTGGGCTGGAAGCACAAGGCGAGGCTGGTCATCAGCGGACACAAGGACCCCGACCTCCTTAAAGGACTTCCGACGCATGCTCCCACTATCTCTCGGCAAGGCATCCTCTTGCTCCTCCAGATCCTGGCTTCGAACCTTCAACATGGCTGGCAGGGATATGCGGGAGATGTGACAGCTGCTTTCTTGTGCGGAGAAGAACTTGAACGGGAGTTGTACCTGAGGCAACCCAGGTCCGGGCTCGGAAACCTTCATCCTGAACAACTTTTGCGGATCCGGAAGCCCATTTTCGGCCTTGTGGACTCACCCGCAGCTTGGTGGAGCAAATTCCGCAAGACTATGAAATCCCTCCGCGTCGACTGCAGAGGGAAAAAGTGGAAAGTGGTGCAGAGCAGTCTGGACCACTGCATCTTCATGGTGCAGGAAATAGTCTCCGGGGAGGGGACCGACGATGAGGAGCTAGGCCCACCACAGGCCTACCTTGGAGTACACGTTGACGACGTTCTCCTTATCGGGGACAGCGAGTTGTGCGAGGTCCTGAAGGCTGAGATCAGCCGACTCCTGCCTATTCGTGAGTGGGAGTCCGAGAAGTTCGACTACGTTGGGTCCTACATCGAGATCAAGGAGAACCTCGTCAGGATCTCACAGGCCAGCTACACGGCTACACGTCTCTTCGAGGTGGAGATTGACAAGGATATCCCGGACCACTACGAGGCGACTGAGACGCAAAGACATGACAATATGTCCCTCATCGGAGCTTTGTCATGGATGGCTAGCCAGTCGCGTCCCGACCTACAAGTGGGGGTGTCCATGAGCCAGCAAAGGCAGAAGGAGCCTACGGCGGGAGACATCCGTTTCACGAACCAGCTGGCCCGGAGAGCGATCGAGCACAAGGAGAACGGCCTGGAGTTCCACCCCGTTGACCTCGACCACGCGGTCCTCCTCTGTTATCACGATGCAGGCTGGGCCAACGTCCCCCAGAACCAGGAGGACCCGTACTACAGCCTCACCGCTGAAGAGAACCTAGCAGGCCAGATCCTGGACGGACCGTTTGCGAGGAAAGATGCGAAGGCCAAGAAGGCGAATTCTTCAATTACCTCCCAGTTGGGAGGACTCTACATTTTGGCGGATCGACGAGTCCTACATGGAGAAGAATGCCTCGGGAGCATCCTCGACTGGCGAAGTGGAGCTTGCGACCGAGTTTGTCGGTCGACTTTCTCGGCGGAGACGATGGGATGCTCAACGGCTACTGAGACCGGCGACTACATTGCACGTTTTCTAGAGACGCTGCTGACCGGAAAGCTCGAGCGAAAACGCTCTCGCTTCGCGATCCGCTTTATCACAGACTGTAGGAGCCTGTACGATCACCTCACGCGGGACGGAGTCCCACGAGTTCCTTCGTGCAAGCGTCTTGCAATAGACCTTGCAGGCATTCGCGAGGACCTTTCCAATTACGGAAGGATCGTGTGGGTGCCGACTTGGGCACAGTTGGCAGATGTGTTGACCAAGCCACTCAAGCCAGACCAGTGGTGGAGAACAGTCCGAAACGGGCTGAAGTTGACTTTTATTGAGGAGAGGGAATGTACAGATAAGAAGTTTTCTGGAACCAGTGTAAAGCTTGAAGGTTCTTAAAGGCCCTCCTTCCGATCGACCTGCACCGCAGGCACAAGAGTTGCTCGAAGCGACAAAAAGCGTCGCACTGCCGGCCGAGGCCCTGGGGTAGGGTCTTCTGCCCTTCTTAGTTCTAAATTTAGGGGTTTAGGGTTTAGGGGTTTAGGGTTTAGGGGTTTAGGGGTTTAGGGTTTAGGGGTTTAGGGTTTAGGGGTTTAGGGTTTAGGGGTTTAGGGTTTAGGGGTTTAGGGTTTAGGGGTTTAGGGTTTAGGGGTTTAGGGCTAGTGGCCTTGCTTTTTTTTTTTGTGCGTGTGGCCTTGTTCGAGCCGGCCGCCACTCTCGGCGCAGAACGCCTGAGCCTGGAACTCCCTGATTGGGGTTCCTTTAAGGGGTTCCTTTGAGGGTTCCTTTAAGGGGTTCCTTTAAGGGTTCCTTTAAGGGATTCCTTCAAGGATTCCTTTAAGGGGTTCCTTTAAGGGGTCCTATAAGGGGTCGATAAGGGGCTGTAGGCTATAAGTATGTTTCCTTACTTACTTGACGGCTCAGTGGACCCAGTGACTAGGGGATAAGTAGGGCCGGGTAGTAAGTGGCTCTTGTATAAAATCTTCCGGTCCAAAACAGCGCAAGCCGGTGTAACAGACACACCTTCCCTATGAGGTACCTGGATGCCTCGGTCAGTAGGGGGGTTAGTGTTGCAGTAACTTTTAGGAGTTTTAAACCCTTTCCGATATTCCTTGGACTTGGAGGGGTCTGGGGGTGGTAGTGGTAGGTTTCGTATTTGGGGATCCACTTTGGGGTTCCCGGTGTAGGGCCATCAGGTCTCTCGACATTACGGTAAGGGCTTTTCTGGGGGGTCCTTACAATAAGATCCTACCATTTAGGCTCCATGCGCCGCATCTGGAACTCCTCAATCTTCTACAGGCTTCCAGCTCTTCCAAGCTCCGCGCTTTGTAGGTGTTTTCAGCGTCACATCCTGGTGAAATGCGGTGAGGTCGAAAACAGCACATCAACGTAAGGATTGTGTGTTGCATCTTCTGTTGGGGTATTCTGATCAATAAGTTTTAGGGCCCCAGCATAACTCCCTTGAGCCTCACCTCGAAGCCTCGGGCTCTCAAGAACGCAGAGATGGAGGAGGGAGGGAGAGGGAGGGGAGAGAGGGGAGGAGTGGACCCATACTCGACACCTCAGTCACCTCACTCTTTCGATTTACATCCCGAACAACTTCAATAAAGATATGGGAGTTTCCGAAAATTGGGGGGTACCTTATTTGGGGGTCCTTATAATAAGGATCCTATTATGTAGGGTGCTGCTTTTGGGTCCCCTGTTTTCGGAAACTCCCATACACACAAACCCACCCCATGGCATCGCCAGACAGTGGTCCTGGACGAGAGGGGCAGAGCTGGCTGACCTGTCATGTCTACTACTACTACTACTACTACTACTACTACTACTACTACTACTACTACTACTACTACTACTACTACTACTACTACTACTACTACTACTACACTACTACTACCACTACCACTACCACTACTACTACTACTACTACTACTACTACTACTACTACTACTACTACTACTACCACTACTACTACTACCACTACTACTACTACCACTACTACTACTACTACTACTACTACTACTACTACTACTACTACTACTACTACTACTACTACTACTACTACTGCTACTACTACAGTTTCAGGGCAGCTAAGACCACGCAGGCTCTCAGGTGTTGATGTTTTGGAGATGTGCGAAAAACTCGCTAAGAGTAGCAAGAAGCTTAGGCTTGAACAGGCTACCGTGGTGTTGGATTGTGAAAGGTCGGGATAATCATAAGACTTTCTAGTTGTGCTTTGAAGGCCTCTCTCAGAATAATTGCCAACAGTTGTACCTTTGCTCCCTTTGTAGCTATCGTACAAACATACTCGAAACGACTGGTCATCGTTTTAATGCGATTACTGCTCAGAACTCTGCAGCAACGGTTAGGGCTTCAGGGTCCTTGAAGCTCTATACAGTAGCCCTTTAGATGAACCCTTAAAGGAAGCCTCAAACAGGTTTCGGGTTTCTAGTTCTGCTGGTCTCCGGCGGTTAGGGCTTTTCGGGGTGTGGGGAGCCAGGTTCACTGTAAACTTAGTACAGGCTTCCTTTAAATGGGGTCTGGAACGGCTACATAAGGGTTCCGGACTGAGAGTTCAGCGTTTGGGGCTACACACTCGGGGTCATGATCTCAAAACGGGAATGGCTGGAAGGTCCATATCGAGGCAATGTGCCAGAGGCTGCCGCTGTTGCAGCGACGGACCCGTGAACAGGGCCCGTGTAAGGTCTTCTGTGTCAACTATGCCTTGAGCCAGCGAAAGACGAAGGTTAAGTGAAGACTTGCTGAAGCAATGGCTCAGCAAGGACCGCAACAAGGACCACAGCAGCAACCGCAGCAGCCATAGATGCTGGCTATCCACGGCCATGCCGTAAAGATCGGCGATTTGGTGCTTGATCTGCCGTGCCGCAATTGAGCCCGGTATCCGGGGTTGCGGGTATGGGTTTGTGTCTTTGAAGGCTTATCAGTCCAAGGCTTTGCAGATTTATAGGGTGCAAGATTATGCCAGGTATATGTTTGCAGTGCTGACGGTAGGGCTCCACTTGTCCTGTCTTAGCTGTCCGCGCCTGAAAGGTGTGGAATTGTCGTTCCGAGGCACTCTAAGTAGTTCCCGTCAATTCTCGTTCATAAAACGCAGAACCCTAGACTAGACCCTAAACCTTACACCCTGAATCCTAGAACCTAAACATTGAATACCAAACCCTGAAGCCTGCTTTTACAACCTGAAGTACCAAACCCTGAACCCGAAAAGCCTCAACCCTACAGCCTAAACCCGAAACCTTAAGGCTTCAATAGGGACCCAAGAAAACGCACATAAGCAAAAATAAGCATTGGGATGTCCAACAAAACCTTGTAACGAAGCCCAATAGGCCCTATAAAATGCTTTTGCTTATGTGCTGTTGGGGGGTCCCTAATTCAAGGCTTCCAGGCACAAAGGGGAGGACTGAGGGCTTAGGGTTAGGGTTTAGGCTGGTTTGAGTTTAAGGTTAGGGTTTAAGAGCTCAGGGGTTTAGCGCGAAGGAGTTACGTCTCAAACAGGGGCTGCACAAGAAACTAGCCAAACAAAAAGGTTCAGGGGGTGCTGCACACTTAGACTAGTGACTAGTGGTTTTAAGCGATTTTCAATCACACACACTCGCACGCGCGCGCACATACTCATCCTGAAATGTCAGGACCAAGGACTATCACATGCGTCGTCAGGCCCCTATAGTGCCAGAAAAAGGTGTCCCGACCCTGATCACGAGGCCGGAGGGTTAGGCCAGTGGGGTTGCTGAAGGTTTAAGAATACATATAGTAGCCCCTTTATGATAAGGGTGCCCCTTTTTAGGAGAACCCTGCGGCCCTAAACCCTGAAGTCTGAACTCTAAACCCTCCTGTAGGCCTCGAACTCTGAGCCCCTAAACACCAGGATTTTCAGCGCTTAGCGAAACCAAAGAGACTCGCCAGGGCAGCTTGCGAGACATCTGACCCTTCTGCGGCTTGCCTCGGTATGTTTAGCTTGGGCACGGGTAATGTAGGGGCCTAAGTACTTAGAATAGGTCTCTGGGGCCAATTGTACTATAAATGTAATAAGGAGCCCCCAAGATAGCATCGGCAAATATTTGGGCCCCTAAATCCCTTTAGAAACCTTATGGTATGCCGTTTAAGGAACCCTTTAAAGGAACCCTATGAGCAATTATTTCGGCCCCTATTTTTAAGCTTGTGCACAGGTACTCTCGGAGTGCCCTGAAGGGAGCCCTGGACAGGAAGCCTTCAAGGAAACCCTAAACCCTAAACCCCTAAACCCCTAAACCCTAAACCCCAAAACCCCTAAACCCTAACCCCTAAACCCTAAACCCTAAACCCTAAACCCCTAAACCGTGGACCCCCTCCGGAATGGACTTCGGGCCCCTCCAGCCTGGTAAAGCCAAGTTCGGATTGCGGGGCGACGGAGCTTCGCTCTCTACGAGTTTAGGGTTTAGGGTTTAGGGTTTAGGGCTAGTGTTTGTCACAAAAGCCAAAGGGGCGCTGAGGGTAATAGTAGGAGCATTTTCCCAATTTTCTCGCTGTCGTGAAGCAGCAACATTCCATAACCCTAGCCCTTGAACCCGGAAACCCCTCGTGGTAAGAGGGAATCCAAAACCGGAAACCCTTAAGGGTTCCTTTTCAAGGTCTCCTTTAAGGGTCTCTTTTGGGGCACCTTTAAGGATTCCTGAAAGGGGGACCCTAAAACCTCCTGAAGCAACCTTTAAAAGGAGCCGCTACAGGGATCTGCGGGGGATCTCTTTGAAGGGATCTCTAGGGGTTCTTTGAAGGCGGTCTTACCAACTAACCCCCCCGAAAACCCAACACCCTTTAATTAATGAATATACCTCAAATTATAGAGGCCTTAGAATTATGATTCGAGGTATATTCCTTAATGAAGGGGTATTGGGATTTCCGGGCCTAAACCCTTGATTTGTTGGTGGTTTCACGTTTCGGGCCTGAACCCCTTGATCCCTTGGGAAGTCCTCCCGCTGAGGCCAAAGCTGAGCAAGCTGGCCCAAACATCTTGCCTCACTTCTTGCAGCGTTTAGGGTTTGGGGTTCGAGCTTGGTGTTTATGATTTAAGATTTGGAGTTCAGGCTTGGGAGTTTGAGTTTTTAGGGCTTAGGTGTAGGTAGGTAGGTAGGTAGGTAGGTGGGTGGGTGGGTGGGTGGGTGGGTGGGTGGGTGTGCGTGCATGTGTGTGTGCGCATGTGTGTGGGCGCGTGCATGCGCGCGCTTTACTGGAGCGGACTTGGGTTACAGTGAACGCAGAAAGATGAAATGCAGGATAAGGACGATCAGTGCTGGCATTCCCACGTCTTTACCTCAAGGGTGCGTGAGCATTCTGATGTTCCCACCTTCTGGTTTCGACTTTAGTGTCTTGGGTTTAGGGATAAAGCTGTTCGGCTGTGGATCTCTCAGGCTTTGGCTAAGGGCGGATCGCTCATGCCCGCTTTATACTGCAAGATATACAGCCCCGTGCTTGTTCAGGGTCGGTTGGTCCTCAAGGCGGGTGGAGATCTGCAGTACAATCAGAGCCATACTTCTGGTCATAATCCGATGATGGGCATTATGGCCGTAACGGTTGATGATATAAATCCTGCATTACCTTACAGGGCCCAAAACTATGGGGATTATGGTATATTCCTTATTCTGGGAAATGCAGGATTTCTATCATCAACCGTAACCATCGCGATTGAACAGTGTCGGGTCGAAACCTCTGCAGTCTTCGAGCATCGGGGCTGAGGAAAGATCAGGAGTGAATTGTCTAACACTTAGTGCAGGCTTTATAGGGTTTAGGGTTTAGGGTTTAGGGTTCAGGCTTTATAGGCACAATGGCATTGGGAAAAACTTAAGATAAGGATCGAAGATGTCCACATCCTGCGACTGAAGATCTACGCAACTCCATGCACCATACTTTTGCTCCACGCGTGTGCCAAGGGGCAAGTAGTAGCTCTGCATGATGAAGCTTTCACTGCCTTCGAAATCAAGATGTGGCTCTATGTCAACTGATGTTATAAGGGTCTGAACAAGTTGTAATGATATTCTCGGGCAGCTCCCTTCCATGAGTTTGAAAACTCATCATATGCTTATTCTCATTGGTCTTTGAATATGTTTATATAGTGGTTTGAAGAGACACCTCCAGACCCCAAGATTTAGGGCACCTCTTTCAACCCGCAGCTAGGTGGCTAGCATCTCCTCGTCGGAGGTCTCGGGCGTTAGGGTTTAAGGCTTGGAGCACTGCAATGCCAACACTGTGGCTCGTTTATTCGGTTTAGGGTTTAGGGTTTGTAACCATTTGATCCATTCCATTTCTGATTCCACCGTGCACTTCGGCGACAATGAAGCTGGTGGTGCGGCTGAGTTGCCTGACGGCTTGTCCTTCACTGCTGCCATTTCAGGGTTCAGGGTTTTGGGTCTGCAACCCGAAACCCCAAACCTCGTCCCGAAGCCTATGTATGCTTCCCCTTTATGTCTGGAGACAAGCATAACCGTGTATTTTCGCTGTACGGAGGGCTACACGATGACCTGCTTGGAACACAAAAGCGCAAGTTCACACCCATTGCAAACACAGGGAAAGCGGTCGCTAAGCCTAAACCTAATGTTTAGGGTATTTAAGGTTAGGTTTTAGGGTTCAGGGTTTAGGGTTTAGGGTCTTTTTTGGAGCCTCAGGGGCCTTGATAGTTAGAATAGGGTTTGGGGTACATTATTCTATGCTTATAATAAGGAACCCCCCAACAAAGTATACTTCTTTCTTCTGATGGACTTCAGTGCCGCTGCAAAATAGTATAGGTAATTATTTAGCTCCCCATAGTAAGTCACCCTGGCTCGGCCCTAGGCTGAGTCGACCGCGTATAAACAACGAACAAAACGACAACGGCGGATCTACGTGGCTTGGCTCTTTTGGGCTTAGGGGTTTAGGGGCAGTGTAGGGGTTTAGGGTTTGGGCGGGTTTAGGGTTTAGGGCTTAGGGTTTACGGTAAAGGCTTTAATACTTAAAGACTCAAAGCGTCCCACGTGCGGTTGCCCACCTGTGCCCGGATGCACTCGGACGAGACCTGGCATCACCTGCCGGAGGGACCAGAACCAACCCAAAGAACCAACCGTTTCTTGGAACTTCCGAGTGAGGCTTTGTCAGTTTCGGGGAACTTACGGTTGTCAGCATAACTTCCAAGCCGCCTTGATTTTGCTACTCCTCTCAGCACAATGACGATTGCGTTTCTTCTACGACTCTTCTTAGCAAAGGGCCATGCTAATTACTAATAACTAATAACTGCTTGGGCTACCGACAAGTGCTGCCGTTGGTGCTCTTGCCCCTCGGGCAGCCTACTGCCCTCCTCCTCGCACTACTTTCGCTCTTGCTACTTTACTACTACTACTACTACTACTACTACTACTACTACTACTACTACTACTACTACTACTACTACTACTACTACTACTACTACTACTACTACTACTACTACTACTACTACTACTACTACTACTACTACTACTACTACTACTACTACTACTACTACTAGATACTACTACTACTACTACTACTACTACTACTACTACTACTACTACTACTACTACTACTACTACTACTACTACTACTACTACTACTACTACTACGACTGACTACTGACTACTACTGACTACGACTACTGACTACCTACTACTACTACGACTACTACTACTACTACTACTACTACTACTACTACTACTACTACTACTACTACTACTACTACTAGCCACCCCCCCCCCTACCAACCACCTCTTTTACATACTCTTGTAACCCACATCCGTTTTACTCGGTATTTACAGCACTTTCGTCATGTAGGAACATCTTATGAAGCTAGAAATTTCACCTGCGAGTTTTCAAACTCCAGCATCCGATTGTGGATTTTTTTGTTGTGGGGGTGCGTGGGTGTGCGGGAAGAATGAAGTCGAGATTGTTACGCGGACACCTCGAACAACATCTCCGCAAGAGCCATTTTACTCGGTATTTACAGTACTTTCGGGATGTCCGCCATCTTATAAAGTTGCCAAGCCTACCTCTGGACTTTTCTACGTTGTCTGTTTGCCTTTGCGAGGGCTTTCAGCGAAAACTCGACATTGGGTGGGGGAAGGCTTGTTTTACTCGGTCTTTAAAGTAGTTCATCTGGTATGTTAAATCTTCGTCATCATCATCATCAACAACGAACATCATCACGACTTGAACAGAACAGAGAGGCATGCAGATTGCGACTGCACGTGTCTCGCAGGTTTTTTTGGAGCTGGCAGTCATTGCTTGGCGCGTGTCCCTGCAAGGTTTGGTGGAGCTAGCAGTCAATGGTTGGCGTGGAGGCTTGAGCGAAACGACGTTCCCGCACAAGCCAGCCATCCGCTAGAAGAGCTGTATCGACAAAAACGACGGCGAGACCGTCAAACAGTCAAGTATCTTCGCAAAGTAAATATAGCCATACACTAGACCATCGTGGAGCATCTGGGCTACTGTGAACAGTTCCTGTGGATATTCGCTGGCAACTGTTCGAGGCTGCCTGTACGTTATCAGCCCCCCCCCCCCACCCCCCCCCACGCATGCAATCGCATCATGAGCATAGCATACAAAGCATCCTGGAGCATCTGGGCTACTAGGAGCAGTTCTTGTGGATATTCGCTGGTAACTGCCTGTACGTTATCAGCCCCCCCCCCCCCCCCCACGCATGCAATCGCATCATGAGCATAGCATACAAAGCATCCTGGAGCATCTGGGCTACTAGGAGCAGTTCCTGTCGATATTGGCTGGCAACTGTTCGAGGCTGCCTGTACGTTATCAGCCCCCCCCCCCCCCCCCCCAAGCAACGCATGTAAAAGGGGGTGGTTGGTAGGGGGGGCCGCCTACTACTACTACTACTACTACTACTACTACTACTACTACTACTACTACTACTACTTCTACTTCTACTTCTACTTCTACTTCTACGTCTACACTACTACTACCCTGCTGCTACTACTTTACTACTACTATCCTGCTTCTACTAGTACTGCGACTACACTACGACTTCGACGACGACTACTACTACCGCTACGACTGCTGCTACGACGACGACGCCGACGACGACTACTACTGCTACTACCATCATCATCATCATCCTCATCATCATCAGTATCCGTGACTTTGCGCTGATCGACGATGTTTTCGTTGCGCACACCTCTCCATACCATACCAAGATTACCATAGCCACACAGTCTAGCCACGCTGTGTACGTATTGCATATGTATCTAGACGTGGTGTGTGCGTGTGTGTGTGTGTGTGTGTCCTTGTATGTGTACATATCTATGTATATATATATATATATATATATGTATGTAGGTATGTGCGTGTATGGTCTGAATATTGGGCATTCGTGGATCCTCAACCTTACAATGACCCTCCAACGAGTTCAGAGTGGGGGGGGTGCTTCAGGGCTTCGGGTTGGGAATTGGGTGCAGGGTTTGTGGGCATGTCGTGTTCAGAGTTCGCGGAACCTGAAGCCTTGATATTTGGGAGTTTCCAAAAAAAAGGGAACCCTAATATAGTACCCTAAATAGTAGGATCCTTATTAAACAAAAACCCCAAATAAGGTACCCTCAATTTTCGGAAACTCCCATTTATGTGCCGCTCTAAACCACTCTGCCTGCCGGAAGGTCGAAGTCGTACGCATCGACCAGCTCCAGACGTTGGCTACCAAGCCAACCAGCGTCCGCACCTGAAGGGAACTCCAGAAAGTTGGAATATGGATTAGTGGTAGGATCCCCTATAATTTACCTTAAAGGGGTACGATAATGATATTCCAACTTTCTGGCTTCTACTGTGCACTGTCTGAAGGCATCTGAGAAATCAGAGCTGATGTGTTCTGGCAAGTCTATTGTTCGTAGCAGTGCTACCATGCTTGCTTCTGATCGAAGAACCAAAACAAGACCGAGCATCTACAAGCACCAGACGAGAATACAAACACATGATTACTATGCCAACTGTCGCAGTGACATCGACGACAGGAAGAAAAACAAAGTCGGAAATTGTGGCGTGGTCGTTGTTCCTGCTGTCGCTGACGACGTTGCTAGCACTGCTAGCAGTATCGTCACCGTCTCGGTAGGCATGGTTGTATACTAGATGTTGTAGCAATGGCAGCAGCAGCAGCAGGAACGGTTGTACCCTCAAAATAGTCTTGGTAATTATCTAGGCCCCCGAAGTAATTAAGCAATACACCTTCAACTGCGATGAGGGCCCTGGGTCTAGACAATCCGATGACTAAGGCAATATAGGGGGCCTAAGTACTTGCCGATAATATTTTGGGGGTTCCTTATTCTAATTTTAGTATATTGGGCCCCAAAACCCTATTCGAATTATTAAGGCCCCTACGGTAAGTGGAGCTTGGAGTGCCCAGAGCCAAAACCCGACCCTAAACAGTTCTGGAGCGTTCGGAGCGCCTGCTGGTAGATGTCCATGACATTAGCAACACCTCGGGTGACGGCTCAAAGTTCAAAGCTTGGAATTTTGCTGGGGCTTGGCTTGGGGCTTTGCACTTAAGGGTCTAGGGTTCAGGGTTTAACGCCTTACTGGACTTTTGGGTTTGTAGTGCGTTTGGAATTTGAAGATCCAAGCCACCGAAACTCAATCCCTGAAGACTTCAGAGCTGCAACTCCCATGATCCTCGAACCTTGCGGATTTATGGCCTTTGGTGTCAAGTCTCTGTAGTGGGCCTGGAATCTTAGGGCCTTGAGGTGTCAGACATGGGACTTTAGGGTACTTCGGTCGATGATAAAAATCCTGCATGACCCATAATAAGGAATATACCATAATGCAGGGTTTTGATCATCAACCGTTGGGCTTGGGAGTGTGGGTGGTTTGGGGTTTCGGGGTTTTGGCCAACTGAGGGCCTTAGGACTTGGAGGTTCGTGGGTAGTTAGTGGGGTTTTAAGCAAGGTAACTGCAAGAATAACCCATGTTAGGCAACCACAACCCCCAGTTATAACCACCCATGAAGCTCCAATTAGGGCTTGCGGCTTTTTAAGGGGCTTCCCTAAACCGGCTTCCGTTGCTTCAAGGGTTTGGGCTCAGGCGAGTTCAGCGCTGCTTTAATGCTTTGGTTCAGTCCGAAGGACAGCGTGCATTGGAAGTAAAAACCCGCAGCTTAGGGTATAGGGTAAAGCCATCGAAAATTCAAGGTCTTCAGCGACAAGTTGGGTTCGGGGTTTGGAGTTCATTACACCTCGAAGCTGCTGCACCTCAAGCGTCACAACCACGGCTTCGAATTAGGACTTAGTCTGTGGGTTCGCAAGTTCAGGGCGCCAGCAAAAACACCCTAAAACCCCTGCTCGGCAGAAACCAAGAACCCGAACGCCTCTTGTCTGGCCACCGATTGTGCAAGTCTTTCCGGGATCCAACCATGTTTGGAAGCCCGTTGGAGTGCGAAAACGTGCGGAAAATGGTGGTGCCTCCCCAGCAAGTTTGGGGTTCAGGGTTGCAGTCACGGTTCAGAGCTTTCGTTGCTTTGATTCCGGCTGTGAAACATGGAAAGAAAGAACGGCTCTGGCAAGTCGAGTGCGCAGTTGCACGCGGCAGACATGCAAAGGACGAGAACTGTACATATGGGCGTTTGGAAAATAGCGGAGCCGAGTATAGTGCCCTAAATAGTAGGATCCTTAATACAAGGACCCCCAAAAGAAGGTACACCTAATTTTCAGAAACTCCCCTATGGTGTCGGCTTGGGCTTGCGGGGGTCTGGGATGTCAGCGGGGATCTTTAAGCCCAGGTCTTGTTGTTAAAGTCGACGAATGAATCTGCCACCTGCAGTGAGAAGATGATTCGAGATACTTTGCCTTGGTGTGTTTTCGGATTCGGGATTGTGCGAATACGGGAGATACCATGAAAGCTATTTTCAACACTGACTCTGCGGATTCAGCCGAAACCCAGAGTTTGATTGATTGTTGTTGCTGATAAGAAAAACCCACGCGCACACACAGAAAAACAGACTCACGCGCACACACACACTGGGTAGTTAAAAGATCAGGGCGCCTAGTAAGGAGGGTTGGAATTAGGGCTGTAAACTTCCTCTAACCCCAAGCACGAGACACATGACCTCCAACACACTTACAACTTCCGATTGAAAACTCGCAAAAGAAAATGGACACGCCCAACACTTACCTGGTGACCAGGCTCGCACCAAATACGAGAACCTGTGTCACGCCTTGGTTAAGGGTTAAGGGTTTGGGGTTTAGGGTACCAAATACGAGAACTTGTGTCACATGCCTTGCATCTGCTCGCGCACGCAGGGGCGCGCGTCTCGCAGCCAAAGGCCAGCTCAGCGACCCTGGAGAGCACTCGAGGGACTCCTTTGAAAATCCTCCGAAGCTGTAAAGTTACTTGCAGGATCATGGGACTTAGTAAGTACGGTTACAAGTAATTACCTTAATTGGGGTGATTAGTACTAATAAGTAAAGTTACCTTCATGAATGCCCTAGTTACTAAGTCCCATGAGCCTGTAAGTAGAGTTAGGGCACACTGTTCAGTCTAAGCAGCGTACAGACCAAGAATCTTGCAGGCATCTGATGCTGTTCCCAGCTTCCTTTTCGTCAGATTCCAAAGGAGGGCCAATGTGCATGGTACGGCCGCACGGCACAGGACGAGGCTGAACGGATATGAAACCTTCTAATGTTTGGCCCTTGCATGCTTAGACGCTGCAGCAGTCTGTACAACTTGCGGTAGTGCTGTAGCGACACTCTCGTATTGCAGTCGGCTGCAACAAGCCATGATGCAGCCAAACACATCGTGACCACTTGCAGCCCTGCAAGATACCTACAAGCTACAATCTCTGACGCTCAAACTCTAGTACTCCACAGCATGATTGAGCGAAGCTAAGCGTACCTGGACGCTTTGTGAGAATGCTCGCATACATGTGTAGCCTTCTAAACCTCAGGACAACCCTCTCGGATATACTGCTGTTTGCTGTAGCTCACACCATTACCTGACCATGCCAAACCATGTCTGTCATACCGAATCATGTGGGAGCTTCCGAAAATAGAGGACCCAAATATAATACCTTAAATAGTAGGATCCTCAATATAAGGAGCCCAAAACAAGGCACCCCTAATTTTCGGAAACACCCATAACATGCTCACATGGCAAGATTTATCATGCTGTACCTGGGGTGCTTAAAATCGCATGCGTGCCGTCGGCTTCTCCGGGCCCGGGCTATGTCTATTCTTCTGGGCTCCGAGAGCTTCAAAGCATATAAGAAAAGGAGCCCTGATAATTAGAATAGGGTTCCTTTGAAGGGGTCCTTAAAAGGATTACTATAAGGGATCTATAAGGATACTATAATATAGGGGCCCTAATAATGAGAATAGGGTTCCTTTAAAGGGGTCT